TTTCTTGATAAGAGTCAGCAATTTTTTCAAACATTCACTTCGAAGCTGAAGATGGTGAATAATTAAAAATTCTAGAAAAGCAAYAGTTTCGAGAAGTCTCGAGGCTATAGAGTGARCTTTCCTTTGATATGTTTAATAAATTAAATTAAATTTAGATGATAAAATGTRTAGTTATTAATTTTAGATTTTGAATATTGGGAAACATAATACGGTATCTTAAACCTTAATTCCAAATCGCCCCATTCACGGCTCTCGTCATAATCTTCTCGTCTAGTTCAGAGTCCAAATCTTCTCGTTGTTGTACATTCTCGCTACGGAGTTCAGAGTTCATCGTCCAACTTCTCGTCGTTGTGCAYCCTGATTCACTGAAAGGTATGTTGTTCAATTTTGTGCTAATCGAATGAATGTTTAACTTCAATTTGTGTTAATCGCTTGCTAATTGAATGAATGTTAACTTCGATCTGTGTTAATTGCTTGTTAATTGAATGAATGTTTAACTTCAATCTATGTCAATCGCTTCCTCTTTAAAAACCTGAATCGACCTAAAACTGAAATATATAATTTGTTACCTAAAATTGAAATACGTAATCTGTTTTCTATTTGTATTTTTGTGCTTTTGCAAAGCTGTATTATGTATACTTTCTTGTCAAATACAAGTTGCAGGATGTTTATTTTACTATAAATTTATGAACTACTCATATCGATCAACACACTATGGCTATTTCGTTCATAATCAGACCCTATGTCATTCTCGTGATGAAAATTTTACTATAGATAGCTTTTTTTTAGCCCATTTGAAATTGATGCCACATATTTTGATGATGCTTCAATTTATGCTTTGTTTAAGTTGTCCTAAAATGAATCATGCAATTTCTTCTTGGATTTTTTTTCAAATAATTTTGCATCAGTGGTCCTTAAAAGCAGGTTAGATTGGTTTTGGTTTACATGATTCCTTTATTTCAAAGATTTTGGATATATATCTTTTTTTTTTGTCAATAATCATTTATTTGTGTTTATTATAATCATCTTATCATATTTAGGCACTATAACTAATTAATATAAGTTGAATTATAACATCTATTTCTATCAAGTTGTTTCTTTACCTTGTTTTATTATTATAGCTTAACCAATCATGTTGGTTAATTTCAAAAAGAATTTGGAATAGAATGATTTTATTAGTATGATCACAAATATAGTCTAACTGTGTCATGATGAAGCAATACATTATGATGATTGATAAGAGTTGGATGACGTGTAGATGTCGTAACTCTGATGACTTTTGTATCGGTATTCAAGCCTTTATCAAGATAGCAAAGAAACATGTCAGATATACATATGCATCATCATATGTGAACAACTGGTAAAGAGGGTGGTAAGCAAACATAGGCTCAGATATGCATCTTCAAATTATTTTTTTACGACTCCATTGATCAAATATGAGTTATTTGTTCGTGTACTTTTATTTTTTTATTTTTTTGCCTTTCTTATTTCAACTTTCGCATATATATAACTAAGTATAACTCTGAATACCTTCCACCAGAATTCTACAGCTTGATCGTTCAAAATTCTGAAGAGCCTTAAGTCTAACTCTGAAAACTTTAAGCTTTAGGTCTAACTCTGAAAACACTAATCCATAACTCTAAATGGACAAGGTTGAAATATGGATAAGCTTTGCTTGAAATCTAAACTCTTCTAACTAACTTTGGACAGATTCTGAAACCAAGTTTGGACAAACATAACTTTGGAACATTACTAAACATGACAGCAAACAGATTCAAATATGTATCCACACGAACCATAATTCTGGAATTCGAATACAACAACATATTAACCGAAGTCTGGCAACATAGGACTACTGTCAATAATTAAAATCTTGAGTTGCTGTCGAGTGAAACCAAAATCTGTCTGTAATCGAAATCAAATTTGGATCAATGTCTCCAGATTTATGGATCAACATGATTGCGCAATTATCTTTGATTAAAATCTGTAAATACAAAATTGTTGTTGAAATCTAGAATGTACAACAAATCTGAAACAAAAAATTTGTTTTGAACTTCTATTTCTACATTAATAACTAGGGATCTAATATGTTTGTGCACACATACTACATTGACAACAACAATAACCGTATTCTAGAACTATATGCTTCTTCTTTTTAAACATATAATCAACATTCTGCCATAACTCTGAACTTGAAAGCATAAACATAATAATCTGGACAGCCTTTCGATTATTCTATTCTCACAAACAATTCTCAACAACAACTTGAACAATCTGAATAGTTTAAGCTTATCACCATATCAAGAACATGCCTCTAATCACATCTAGATTACTCTTGATCAAAATGGACAACAACAATAATCACCATATCAAGAACATGCCTCTAATCACATCTGGATTAGAGGTTTGACACGATATATCAAACTACATAAAGATTTGGAAGATTCTAAAGGGGTGAAACATGTGATTGAAGTTGATAATATGGGTAAATTTAAGGGGAATTATAAAGAAAAAATCTCTAGCTATTTGGGTGACTTGGCTTGGAAAGAGGTTGGGCTTACAGAAATTGCGATGGAAGAATGTTTCCAAGGACATGAGGGATCTAATGTGGTTGAAAGTAACGGTATTTTCTACTTATTTATTTATTCAATGTAAATACTATCTTCATCGTTTATTTGTCTATTAATTATTTGTAACTAACATATGATCTGATGTTGTGGTATCAATTTTATGAAATTGACGTGGAGATGAAAAAACACATGATGTATCATTTTGTTGATGCCTTGCGCAATTTTCAATCAAAATTGTACAGCAAATTTATACTGCTCAACATCGATAAACCTTCAAAATGAAAGTTAAACCAAAACAATATGGGTTTGTGGATCAAACTGATTGGGACAAATTTGTTGAACACACACTTTCAAATCAATTCAAGGTTATACAATGTGCAAGTAGTTTTATATTTATTGTCATTTTCTATTTATTTCTTATATTGCGATAATTATTTGATTTTTTCCTTGTTCTAAGGGTGTATCTGAGTTAGCAAAAACATCACGTGCAAAACACAAGTACCCACATCGGTTGGGACGATCTGGATACGTGGGGCCCAAAGAGAAATTGGTAATGCTCTTTTTAAATTGTTGATTTAATTACCCTTTAGCTTTTTGCTTATAATCAAATATCCGAGACAGGATTTTTAACACAAATGATGTGTATTTGATAATTACTAGGTAAAAAAAATAAAGAAATTCCTGATGATGAAGTTCCATTGTGGACTTCGATGTGGTGCAAGGCACGTCAAACCAAGGACGGAGATTATAAATATGATTATCTCAAAGACAAGGCAAATGAAATTGTAAGAATCCATACTTTATTGGAATGCGTTCCTCTTTCTACCRACATATCATTGATATATGTTGCGGRTAAGTCACTTATGAAAAGGAAATTCATGATGGATCCCTAAAGCTTGATCACGGCACAAATGCTCTTACACTTACGTTTGGCAAAGAGAATTCTGGGAGTGTAAGAGGGGTCGGCAAGGGAGTGACTCCGACATGCTACTGGAACATTCCCATATGCAAAGGGTCGTCCAGAGATACCATTCTACAAAGGCAGTTGGATGATGAAAAACGAGAGAATGCTGAAAAAGTTGGGGGTTTGCAAAAGCTGGTCCAAGATCAAAATCTTGTAATTAAAGAACAAGGTCAGAAGCTTCAAGACTAAGATCAAAAGCTCAAAGATCAATATCATGTAATTAAAGAACAAAGTGAGGTCATCAAAGCTATATTAGCTCACCTGTCCTCTAAAGAATGGGATTAATAGATCTGAAAACTTCATTAAACATGAGTTTCAAAGGACAAGTAAATTGATTAGAAAGTATGTTTGATAGATTTGATTTAATTGTGTAATAAATTGTGGTGCAATTTCTAATATTTGTATAAACACTTTTCAAAATTCTTTGATAAGTGGTGTCCCAACTTCACACGAAACTCTTGCAACGAGCAACCACTTTGATAGATCTATACAAAACGACACTATTGCTAAATCGTCAAAGAGAACTCAACAATCTTTAGAGATCAATTATACACCTATATCTGGGAAGGGCGCTCCTATTTCTGCGACTATGCTATCTCAAATGTTCACAAATGAAGGCGTAATGGTTTGTTCTTTAAACAAATTATAATTTTTTCTGTTGAACTTTACTTTGTTTCACACGGAATATATTTTTTTCAAAATATAAAATGCAGACTGGCACATCCAGGTCCACTACTAGAAAACCAGGTATCAGCGAGCGAAAAAATCCCTCGTAGATCATCGAGGGAATTGGCAAAAAGCAAATTCCCTCGCTGATCTGCGAGGGATCAGTGAGGGAATCTGATTTTCTCCGTCGCTGAAGGTTCCCTCGCAGATCCCTCGCTGAAAGTTCCCTCACAGATCCATCGCTGAAAGATCCCTCACTAATCCGTTAGTAATAATTTCCCTCGCTGATCCGTCGCTGAAAGTATCCCTCGCAAATCCGTCGCTGAAAGTATCCCTCGCAGATCCCTCACTGATCCGTTGGTAATAATTTCCCTTGCT